CAGTAACTACCCGTGCATGTACGATGTACGATCAAAATAAATTGAATGCCCCGTAATATATTCTGATATTCAATAAGTAAGTACCGCTTTATTCTTTCTGCTCTATGTGAAGATGTTTGTCCTACGTTCAAAACATCACCCGCACGCTCGAAATCTTCCAAAACAATTGCCCGATAAGATCTCCCCGGCCTAAAAAACAATTAAAAGAGACACCTTTCATAGCCCACTTACTTCATTCTTTGCGTTTTGAACGGTTTTATCTATTCATAAAGGTGCACGACGGGGTCATTTTTATATAGAGGCAGGACTGGCATATTATCAATATATAAGCGTCACCGGAATGCTGGCGAACCTTGAACACACTCGATATTCCTTTCGATTGTTCTATTGCTTAGAACCCTCGCTTGTTTCTACACACCTGTTGTGGAGCAGAGGTTTGGGTCTGAAATAGAGAAAAGTTAAACACAGTTCACTGATGAAATAAAAATGCGTTAACTAAAGCAATTCCACTTTTACAATGCTAATAAAGGTACATACTATTCGGTACAACCCAAATACACAAAGTGTTCTATGTTATTTTCCGGCGGAGGGACAAAATGCACGCGCCTGTTCCCATAGGAATGCACAGGAGCACCGCAAAAGTAGACTGGTTGCTGTCTGCTTGAATCGGCGTCATTAAAGTCGCATAGACACTTAAAAAAAAAAAGTGCTAGTTGAACCTTTGGCGTACATTTTAATTAATAACTCTATGGCGGCCTTAGCTCAGGTGGTGTTGCCACAGCTGCACTGCTGTATCTATAATGGTTTTACATGAATGAAAAAAAAATTGCATAAAAACATTTATTTTTGAACCGCAGCGGCTATCTTCACTTTGGGCATCCACTTTATGTGTATTTTGTCTTTTCAGAAGACATGACCTCACGTAGAGGCCTAACACCACCAGTAAACATCATTAAATGTGGAAATAGTTTATTAATATTTGTCTCGAACATCACAACGCAAGAACTCTTTAAACGTGGTCACAGTGGATACTTAACATGTACAGTGTTTTCATCAATACAAACACGATAAAGTTATTCACGTACAAAATGCTACAAAATAGCAAATAATACAGTATAAATAAACTTTAACAAAAATCAATATTTGAAAACACCCATATCGTGAATGTGACTAAGAAGGACGACACTGAATGAAAAACCGTTCCTGACAGATTTTTTTTTATTCACAAAATAATAAGCATTGTCGAGTATACATGATGGGGAAAACAGCTCAGAAAACACGGACTACGAAGAAGAACACACACGACAGGACACGACAGGCATTGTCCTGTCATGTGTGTTCCTCTTCGTAGTCCGTGTTTTCTGAGCTGTTTTCCCCATCATGTATAATGTCAACCAACTGGCCCAGTTCTCCACCTTATTATTGTCGAGTATAACATATGCGCACAGTCGCACATTCTACCTGAGTACTTTTCTTTCTTTCTTTTTTTTTTCTTTTTTTTTTAATAATGCGGGTTTTTTTTTTTTCTGTTTTTTTTATCCTGATACCGCTGCTTTGTGCTCAGCATACGGGCTCTTGCCTCCAAGTTATCAAACAGAGGTTGCAATGAATTGACAAATCCCTCCAAAGAGATCAGCAAGTCTACAGCTGTTGAAATATCCAAGCCTCGCCTCTGGAGCGCTATGCTGGTTTTGTCAAAACGTCCCAAGATCGCACTCCAGAAAGTTTCCATAAAATCTGTTTCGAGTTTCGCCAGTTTCTTGAAAAAAGAACGCGCTTCGTTTCTATTGTTCCCATTTTCTTTCTCGTTGTTCGATATCGACTCAAGGCAACGCTGCTTTTAACCTAAGAGGCAGAAAGGAAAATGTTGAAGGGAAGAATGCAGGAAAAATCAGCTCTGACAATGTACAGCTAGGTCACAAAAACAGGACATAAGAAAGGAAAATGTGTTTGACAGTTCACTGGGAAGTTCTTTACTGTTCGAGACGAGAACGGGAGTTTTGAGGAAGAGGACGTATAAGGGCTAAAATTCAGGAGACAGACAGCAAGTCAAGAAGGTAAGAGAAACTCCCCCCAGAAGCGTGATACGCCCATTTCAAATCTCTCCGCAGTCGAAATAATAGTTCACTGAAAACGCCCTTTGTTCCGCTTCAATGGATAGATATTGGCTACAGAGTGATGCCCCAACTTGTCTCCGACCCCCACTTTTTAAAAAAGCGACCTTTGTATATTCATCGCAGAGGGAACCGAGCCCCTGAAAGTCGTATTCGTTTCTACCGGAGGGGGAAAACTTTAATTTCCCTCTCGTGGCTTCCACAACGCTAGGTCAAAGTCAAAAGATAAGGCAAATATTTACAGGAAAGCAAGACCCTCCTCTCGCGTTGGCCGCGACATCACGGAAACGATGGGACGCTAATGGATGCGGAGGTGGCGGAGGGATATATGAATCCCATTGAGGGGCCTTTGCCGCCACCGTCTTCACCTGTAACTTACTATGGATCACTTGGTTTTGAGATGCACGGGACTTCGCCCCGCGCGCGCCCCCCCCCCCCCCCCCCCCCTTTCCCCCCTTCCCCCGAAGGGGAAACAGATTTGGCCGGGGCTTTCAGTTTCGCGGGCGACGATGAAAGGACGGAGGAGAAAAGGATTACAGTCACAAAGAGAAGATTAGAAGATTGGTAGAAATTATCGAGGATCAATTGAATGATGTGCAACTAACCAGCACAGCTGGGGACAAGCGAAACAGAAGAAAATTGGGACTCCCTCCCGCGTGGCTCCGGCCCAGAGTCTCAACCAGCAGCGTAGACTTTCCATTTTCCCTGAGGGGGCAGGCTGAGAAGTTCTCCGGTTTGGGAGGGGGGAGCTTTTTCGCGCAATTGTTTTTACACCGGCAGTTATCAGTAGCTTATTTTAGGGGGTACATATATTTTACAGCGTATGTATATCGCCATGTGTCCGTCGCTGTGTGCGTTATTTTGTTTACATTCCACAACTAAGCTCGTTACATGTACGTAAACAGCGTCTCGGTAGGGATCATGGCCCGGGGAGGCTCTGCCACCCCCCGGATCTCACCAAGGGGGGGGGGGGGGGGGGGGGGCACGAGCCCTGATACCCCTCCGTAGTCTACGCCTATGGTCTCAACCCTGTCCCCCAATGGGTCCGGTGCTGGGGTAACGCCGACAATGTTTGACCAGAGGAAAATTGGTGACTCCCTCGCCGGGGGAAAGAGGCGGGGGTTGACGTTTTTAGTTTTTTTGCCCGATCCCCCCGAAGGTCATCCTGGTGATATCCCACACTGGCTGCCTATTGGTCTTAAAGGGATACCACAACGAAATTTCGGCGCTCATTTTTTTGTTCCATAGACCTTTTTTGCGTACTCTCGTCCCCAGCAACCTAATTGGCGTATCCGGTATGGGCGACGAAAAAATAATCCAACGTTTCAAACTGCAAATAGTAGAAAAATTAAGGGGAGGCAAAACGAGAAAGTGTGACGGTTAAGCTTAGATCCTAAATGCCTTCCATTGGCGTGGCAAAGGCAAAACAATGTTTTCGCCCATACTGGAAGTGACGTCAATTCAAGATGGCGGCGCACTTGCAGAAAAGGTCTATATGTGTTCAAAAGAGCAGTATCACATGGAACATACCAATATCTTGGTAAAAAAGTCTCGAAAAGGAATTTTAAAACGAATTAAACGATTAGCAAAGAGCACCTGGTGGATGTCGCTAACGCCTCGTTTGTAATGCTCGTCTAGGAACCTTGACAGCTAGTGACGGAGGTTGTCTCGTCTTCGGCCACGACGAGAGAAGGGGGGAAGGGGGAACTCCCCTCTTCCCGAGAATCCCTTTTGTGTGTCGCAGAAGTCGCTATTGTCCCCCTAGAAGATTATAGAAGATTAACCCGTCACTCAAAATTCGTACAAAAGCAGCCGCTTCGGTGGCTGGAACGACTAGGCCATCCTCTCGACGTCAGCCTCGCCGTAGCTTTGCTCGTCTTGAGTCGACCTACGTCACGATTGCGTTGGATGTCACGTGCTCTAAGCTGGGCCTTCTCCGAGCGCTTGCCAGAGTGGGCCGTTTATAACGAAAAATACAGCCACCAGGATCAAAATAAAAAAAAAAAAAACGTTCGATTGTCAGTTACGGATATTGTGGATCATATTCAACCTATTTTTGAACACGACGGGAATATTTCAAATTTCGTTGAAGTATCCCTTTAAAAGGGTGGGATGAATCATATATGTTTGTCAGTTAGTTAGTTAGTTGGCGGTACCTAACCCCTCTGGAGACAGGGGAGTCTGCAAAAGTTAAGATTGCCGACACAGGTAAAAGTTTTAGTTTCTTGTTTTGTTCTAGCTTTTCCCACTTTTGGGACACTTTCACTGATTGGCGATCGCGCGCAGCTCCTTTCCCATCCGAAGGGAATGCGCTTGGTTGCTATCGTACCGTGGGCCCCTTCCCCGAATCCCAGCATTTCGAGAATCCTCTCTGGTCACCCAGGGCGGTCGACAATGGTTTAGAGCAGTGCACCACAGCAGCACATGGGGGACGTCCTCGCTTGACTGCCCGCACAGAGGACAGGCCGTGTCGTTATTTCCGAAGAGTTGGGCGAGTCGGCAGTTTGTCATCAGCGCTGCTACCCGTGCCTGAAGCAGTAGCCCGCCTTCATGGTCCCCTCTGTAGTGTGTGCAGGAGACGCCTCTAACTTGTGATGCGCGTAGATGCTCTGGAGGCTCTGCTTTTTTATCACCGCCTGTCTCCAGGCTTCAAGTTCAATCGCGTTCACCTCCTGCGTCACAGCTTTGAACCATCCTTTCTCCGATGTGGCCTTATGTCGCTTTGCCCCTTTGCTGTAGACAGAGTCGAGCCTGGCGTCTGGCGATGGTGTTTGACCAGTTCGTCCTCTTCAGACTGGTCTCTTCAGACTAGGCTAGGTGGCGCAAGCTACCGCCTGTTACAAAGGGTATAGCCATTAACATCTATCTATCTACTCATCCACTCAGCAGCGCGCTGGGCGCGCTGCGATCGTATTCGATGTCCTAATTCGATGTGAGTGGCGGCAAGAAACGGATGCATATCGGTTCTCAAAATTAGCGGTCGCTTTTCGCTGTTCCATTATGCACCGTCGCTCAAAATCGCCCAAGTGAGTTGCTGAAATCAACCGCTTTCTTCAGGCCGTATTTACCCCGGGATTGAGAGGCGCGATGCGCTTACTTGATCCCTCGATCTTTCCGACGAATGAATAGAGTTTGTGGTAACGATTCCGTGTTTGAAATAACCGTGGTATTTCAGAAAAATGACGGAACGTACGCTAACCAAGACCGATATTCATAAGATGGTACAGCGAATTCGTTCCAATAAAACGAGAGAATCGCTGCGGAAATTGGAGGGTGCAACCGCATCGAAAGAAGCAAGCACTGAGGCAAGCGATCTTCGAAATTCTGTGTTACGGAATGGAATATCCGCGTTGGATGCATTGAAACGTTGCTTTCGCTTACTTTCGTTGTTAGGATCTGGACAACGGGGAAGCCAGCAGCGGCGTGAGCGTGTGTATCTTTCCCTGCAACAATCCCATCGAACAAGTGATCGCGGAATGTTTCAAGCACGCCAAGCACGCTCGAACTGCAGCGTCCCCCGAGACATCGCAGTGTACCGCATCCGAAGAAGTAACTGACGTCTCGTTATCGGCGTGCGAAACCCTTCTGGTGAGTTTCGCGTTGTTTTTTCGTGCAACCACCGGTATGTCCCGCGAACAGAACGGACCAAATATAATGCCGGAAGATCCGCGATATTCAATTGAACTCTTTCCATTTCAGAATCAGATTTCTAAAAAGATCGAAGAACTTCAAAATGAGATGAAGTTGTACCAGACGCAGAACGAGAACCTGAAAACTTTGCAACAGCAGTATCACCAGGCAAGTGTGCATTCACCCCAAAGCTAACAGTGCGGTGGGAGCTATCTGCTTGTCGGACCTCCCTTTTATCACCTGACACTGCCCCGTGTTTGGGTAGAGCCACAGCTTCCACTGCACTACCAACTAGGGGTTGAACGAAGTGTAGTTTGATAGTCGCTATTTGGATGCCGCTTCCTAATTGACATGAAAATGGCTGTTTTATTATTTCGATGCCTCTGGTCAACCCAGCAAATATATATTACGTTGAATGGCATAAAGTTCCCTGTCAAAAGAAATAGCTTTAGGTGTTTTAGTTTGGTGGACATTGCACCATCCACTAAAAAATGGTAAGGGCATGTGCCAAGACAAATGGGATTGGAACAGTTTGAGCCACCACAATGTTATTTCGATTTCCCCTAATTGTTTTGCGATATCTGGCACAATTCAGAGGGTCTCTGCTAGCTCTGTGGCAATTTTCAAAAGCAGCTGCTTTCTGTTTGTCCAAATGGCAGAGGACTCCTCTTTCGGAGAAGGTTACTGATGGTGTTTATTGTGGTGACCTTGAGTGTTAATTTTGATGTATGAAATAAATTTGACAAATAAGATCCTAAAACCTCAATCGCACCAAGATGCGTTGCATTCCTTAAAGCAAATGTTTTACCACTTTCTCTGAGCAGACTGCATTGTCACAGGGGACACTTCCGTGCTGGTCTTATGGTCCTCTAGCTACTCAACCTATGTCAATGCTGATCCCTGTATGACTGGACAGATACCGAGTATGCCAAAGCTGAAAATATCTCAACACCTGTTAGAGAGTCAGCTCTAAATGTTGTACGCATAATGATGGCAGGCAGTTAGGCAGTAAACATAAGCATCGGAGGATAGTTTACAAAAAAGAAATGCAAGAGACACGGCGAACCGTGACGAAAAACACGACTAAGACACATTCGCCACGTGTGGAAGGCCGAGAGGAGCAAAAAGTGATGCTACCCAATGGCATTGACGTCGCACGATTTCAGAATGGTGCCGTCCATGTTGTAATGTTGCAACTCAGAAATAGTATCTTGGTTTCATTTTCCAGATGCTAGGTGACCTCCAAAAGGAGAAGGACGCGTTTGAAGCACACAAGCAAAAAGAAATGCAGAAACTGAAGGCCGAAATTGACGAGGAAAAACGAAAAATGAGGTAGGTAGACACGTGCGGCCTTTGTAAGGCGTCCTTTCATTTTCCTATACTGCCGCGCAGTGCTGCTAGACTCGAAATTTATGGCGTTATCTTTCTCTCCGCTGCTCAGACTTCAGAAGATGCACAAGGAAGCTCGCCAAGTTGTTGTCAGGGCCAAGCCAAAAGCAGCTGCACCTGAACTCCCCAAGAAGGTTGGCGATTCCCTCGCAGCTTTTGGGGTGTCAGCTTTTGGGTTGTCCGCACAGGACACACTTTTTGCCATGGACAGCATCTGTTAGACTAAGGCGGAGGCTTTTCTTCCGGTTCCGGTCTCTTCGGGACGTTTTTTGCCAAAGGGAAAGTCACCCTCCGCTAGCGTCCTTGGACGGAGCCTTGGAGCGTGCTCATGACGTAGGGCAGGTTGATTGAAGTGAGTGAAACGGGGTACCTCCTTCCGTGGGAGTTCCACAACTGAGGTAATCTAGTAACGTTGGTTGTCAGTCCTCACCCTCCCAAAAACAAGAAAGGGAAGGAGACGACAACAAGTATGCGAGGAGGAAAGCCATGCTGTTTGTGTGGTTGATATTCTCACTGAAAACATACATGCGCACTGCAACGTTCCCACTTTTTGAGATGCGTGCATGCTTTTTCTGCCATGCTCGTCATAAACTGTGTCCTGTTTTGGACAGCCCTTTATCGGCGGGGTTGTTATTCTTAAACAAATGATTATCGCTTTTATAGAGAATTTTAGTTAATTAATTTATATATATTGCTTTTTGTCAGTGCTAGTGGTTAGAAATAGCAGTTTAGTAGTGAACGGTAAAAAGAAAATGATCACCAACCTTTCTGTCCAAAGTGCTATACTGTAATTTCGGGGAGTGGAGAAGAGGATATTGTTTACTGATTTCCTAGCTGGTAAATTGATGTCACGTGGCCCGACGTTAGGGTGCCAAGTTCAGGGACGTCGGGCCACGTGACGTGATGTCATGGTGTCAAGTCGCGTCATGTGATACCATGACGCATGGCATGGTCGCATGACTTGACGTCGTGGTGTCAAGTTGTGATATGTCATCACACTGCCTCAATTTCCCCACTTAATTCAGCGGGAAAATGAATGGATGGATGTACGGACAAATTTCTGGGAGTAAGGGCATCCGTTAAACAGCATTTTATGTTCTAAAAACCATACCTTTTTGTTTAGGTTAATGTTTCTCACTTTTTTGTTAGATTGTTTACAGAAATTTTCATTCCAGTATGACCTTTATTTCACGATGACCCTTTTAGTGGCTATTATAATCACTTTCGTCGACCAACTGCAAAATTGGCTTTACAATGAACAAAAAACGACGAGCTCTACCAATCCATGTAATGGGAAGCAACACCCAAAAGCCAATGGTAAGAAAGGAAGCATTGCAAATAAAAGCACCGAGGATTCATTCCTTCAAACACCAGGCAATGTTCATGTTGTTAGTACAGTCAAACCCGTTTATAACGAACAGCAGGAAACTCTACGATCAGTTCGATATAGCAACTAGTTCGATATAGAAAAACCATTTACAACGAACTTCCACGACGCGTTCGTTGTAAGGCGAGAGCTTTTCTTTATCTCTCATCTCTTCGGTTCCAAATTGTAACAAAACGCTAAAAATGTTTTTTTTTTTTTTTGCATTAGTGCAGAGTGTGTTCTTTTAGCTTCTCTCCCCTTTTGAGTCAGTTCTCTTCGTAGGCATCCGCTTTGGGATGAAGTTTTTTTTCTGTGCGTGCGTGCAGTGTTTTTTTTAGCTTTCTCTCTTTCTAGGTAGCTTGTCTTTGTCAATTTTGTTCACGGCTTGAGCTTTTGGAATTTTCTTTCTTTCCTAGATTTTTTTTTTTTTTTTGGTGGGGAGGGGGGAAGGGAAAGGCTAGGAGACGATTGTTTGCACGTTTTTAAAAGCTTTCCCGTGGGGAAAAAGTTCGATATAGCCAATATGTTGTTCGTTATAAAAAGCACTTTTTATATGCATTTTTATTTACTTTTTCGTGAGTTCGATATGGACAATATTTCGCTGTACGTGGGTTCGCTCTAAACTGGTTTCACTGTAGTGTATTGATGATAAGGTTAGGGATGGCGGGCATTGCACTAAATACATATTTTTTCTCACAGGCACCGGACGTCGAAGCCAGTAATCAACTACAGAGGAAGCTGACCACAGTGACCAGCGAAAACACCCGCCTCAAGGCCAAACTCGAACTTGCGGAGCAGGACAGGGATACCCTCAAGGCGATGGTCAAGCAGCTGGAAGAACAGAGGCTCTCTCTGCTGGACAAGATCGAAAAGTCGTCGGACGTGGGGTGCTACCCTGGCGTGGACAACCTGGCGGCGTCTCCGCGAAATGGGGACTCTTTGGGTCCCCATTTCCAAGTGGAGAGAGACCTTCGATCCGCGCAGGAGAGCGCGCAGGGTGACAGCCTCTGCAGGGAAGTGAAACCCGAAAAGAGTGAAAGTTCCTTCGACCTCGCTTCCGAGATCTGCATCCGTGAAGGCGTGGCGAGGACCAGCGACGGAGGTTCCGACTCTGTTCTGTACGCCGCCACCGTCGTCGCGCGCCTCTCACTCGACAATGCGTCGGCGATGCGGGCGTCGAGAGAAGCAAATTTGCCGGCAACTCGCAGCAGGAATTTTTCCAGCCCCGTCTGGAACGGTGACCGTTATGCGATGGAGCGGGCAGAGCTAGCCGAAGAACGTGCGGTGAAAGAGAGCGTGGGCGGGGCCTTCGGGTTTGCCGCCAGGGACTTTGTGACCTCCCGAGACAGACTTGGCGTTGCAGGATTTGGAAGTTGCAGTTACCTCGGTGATGTTTGTGTCGAAGGAGAGAATGTGAGAAACAATCTGAGCAGTGAGATCGAAAAACGCGTACGCTTCGAGTCGTCTTCGGTCTTTCAGCGGGGCCAGGAAAGACTCGACGACGCGACCGCATTTGGCAGTCTTCAAGCACCGCCGAAAAACGCGTCGTGCGAGGTGCAGGACTCCGTGGACTTCCTCAACACGGTGACCAAAACTGGGATCATCACGAAAGAGGTCCTGAGAGGCGTTCCCAGAAGCGGACTGCTCGGCCTGAACGCCTCTCCGCAGCGTTGGATGTCGTCAGAGAGCTTCGGCGTCAGGAACGTGTTGAGGCAAGGCGGAGGTAAGACGGTGCCCTCCTTGATGCCAGTTCATCGTGAAGGAGAGCGCACTAATGGTGTTTTGGCAAACAACAGCGTTTTGGACGAAGACTCGAGCACCCGGATCTGCAACTCCGGAGTCTGTCCGCGAGCCGACGGGGCCAGAGGAAACGACATACGGTTGCCCGTTTCAACAGTGACGGAAGCTCGGGAGGCGAGCGACAACGTTCGCAAACAAAACGCGATAGTCACAGAATTGGTCGCAAAGTCGAGCCAAGAATTTACGTCGAACATGCCTTCGAGCGTACTTAAACAGCCCGGAGGGACGACGGTTGGTACTTCCGGAGCAGAACTGAATCACGAGTTTGGAGTTGGCCACGGCGAGAACGGGCCGCAGCACCCGGAGAAACCAGGAATTTCCACCGAGGAGGGAGCGTTGAGCCGCAAACCCGAAGGAACTAGGCTACACAGGCGGGTCTCGGCTGAAACGAAAGAACTTGATAGCGGCGCAAGTTTGGGCTCTAAGATCAAAATAGGCGAGCGAGTGAGCGACGAGCACTCCGAAGAAGGAACGACCCAGGACCTTCGAGATATTCTGGAGAACTTGGACCCCAATGGCACAATTCAGGCCCATTGGAAGGTCCCCGACCAGACACCTTTGGAGAAGCTCCCAGATGGGGAATCGGCAACCCGGCATTCTAACGAGGGAAAAGTGGGTTCTTCGATGAAAAAATACTCGCAGGTGAATGCACGGTCTCTAGACGCTTCAAAGACATCCAGAGGAGTCACAGCGGCCAGGAAATCGCAGTCGGTCCAGATTCGGTCGTCCGCCGCGACGCGAGAGAAGAGCAAGGAGGGGAATTCCAGCCGGACGTGGGCCTTGGATTCCAAGGGTCACCGGATGTTCCTCACAATTGTTTCCAAGGAAATTGATCCTTTCACCCAGGTGATAATTTACACCTTCCAGAACGGGGACAAGAAGGACTTGTATCCTGATGGTAAAGTGGTGAGCTTTTCTTCCCATACGTAGTGCCACTTTTCTGGTGAGGAGGGTTCCGCATTTTCGGTGTGTACCGTTGGACCCCTAGAAGTAACCCCTGGGCCGGTTTTATTCACATTAGGGAAAACTGAAAAATCCTGAATTAGAGCTGTGTTTAATGGAAAGAAAACATTTTCTGCAGTTTTATTTTGCATTGATGGAGAGCACAACCACCGCTGAACTGTCTGTGGGACTTCCTTGGGGAACCACACCATTTATCTCGTTTCCTGCTCTTGTTGGTAGTGGAACATTTTTGTGGTATATTTCCCTGGAAGTCTGGGAATCACCTCTTCGACATAGGCATCAATAATCACTACATATGATTTTCGACATCCAAGATAGACATAGAAAAATGTCTAATAAAAAATAAACCCGAAAAAAAAAAAAATCGAAGTAAAATAAACCCTGAAAACACGGAACCCTAGTCATAAAGCGCAGATGTGTGCATTGTTAGGGCTTTTCTAATGTCTCGTGTAACATTCCTTTCTAGGTGTATCATTATGCCAAGAGCCAGACAGTTCATACAGTGTACCCTTCTGGAAAGAAAGAAATCCAGTTTGCAAAGTAAGCCATGTTATTTCTAATTCACTTTATCATAGCAACTGCCATTGAGTGCAAAAGTCTTATTTTGAGTTATACTATTTAAAATATGTTAGGTATGTCACTGCTATAGAGGGGGGTTCTTTTTCAAGGTTTTACGGTGTGTTTCTTACAAAAAATAGTGAAAGCTACACTAATGCAGTCTGTGTAGATTAATTATGTTGCCAGGAGGATAATCATTATAAGTCAGTAATTAACTAAAAGTTTGTTAATTAATGTTTTAATCGTTAAAGATAAATATATGGTTCCAATTAGAAACTTGCTGATTGTCATTGAAAGCCACTGAATCAGTATACTTTAGAAAGACTTGTAGTGCGTGGGAGGCACGGTAATATGTCAAAGTTATTACTCGTCGAACAGGTGCAGGGCTGGAGGTGCGAAAGCACGCTGGCATGGTTTTCCCAGTTTCTTATCATCCATGTTTTCTAACCGCCAGCCTTGCGCCTGACAAACTTGATGAACAAGTTTTATTTAATTATTTGACTTATTGCGATACTTAGCCCCTATATTATGACCCCCTGGCCATATAAAGCAGCGGAGCTGACTGCCTTAGTGTAGCTTTCACTGCATTTTTGAAACAAGTTTGTGACACAAAAAATAAAACACCCCGTTCCTGCTCTGTCTAAACAAAGCAGAAAAGTAATCAAAACTGTTGGAGAGAAGTTGAAAGCGGCCTTTCTACCAGCCTCGACTAATACTAACTGGTCCCAAACGATTCCTTTTAAGAACTGCTTAGTGCGTCTGTTACTTGAGTATGTGCTTTTTAGTGCCAGTTGTTTCTCAATTGGAAATTAAACCGATACAGTTGTGCATTGAAACGCCCAGTTTTGATAAATGTCTTCACGAAACCTCTTTCGATGGTTACACTCGACGGTGCAGTGGTCAGAGGGAGCTGCACGGGAAAGACGGCAACATTGAGGTGACATACCCCAACGGAACCATTCGCCGGGTGTTTAGCACCGGCGAGGAGGAACAGGAGGCCCCAGATGGCACGGTTGCTCGGAGACTGAGGGACGGCACCGAGATCGTTCACTACCCCAACGGGCAGAAGGAAGTCCGTCATGAGTCTTACAGGGTGGGCAGTCCTTCTTTCTCACTGAGGCTTTCGAAGGAATCGCGGAATAAACCCGCTAAATTACTCAAGCTTTAAGCAACTTTCTGCGAGTGCAGTTGCACATGCCGCATGTACTGGCGTCTGCAACAGTTACTGCTCCGGGGCAGAAACCTAAAACAAACGGATCTTTGCCAATGCCTCTTTTTGTGCTGGTTATACTGGTTAGGCGAGTGCAGGCAGCATGTGTGCCCACATTCCCAGCATATTCTCTTTGGTGCTTGAATAATTTTGCAAAAGAATTATTGCAGGCAATGCAGTAGTCGCAAAAGTTCCTACCTTTGGTATAATGTTGTGTCACTGCTGCGTTTCTAAGAAACATTGCTTTGGAGGAAATAACTGGAAAACATTATGTAAGCTGAAAGTCTTGTAAAGACTCTCTTTGCCATCTAGGAACATTGACTCTCGATTGAGAAAGTGGTTTCTGGTATACAGGGTGCAGCCGGTATTTGAGAACAAACACATAAGTAAAGCAAAAACTAACTTATCCTCTTCAAAAATCAATGTATTTGCACCAAATTTGGTAGACAGGTCTCCCGGTCCATACTCTCGAAAGTCATTCAATAAATCCACCATTATATGACTTCGTAAGCATGTTCAAGACTTAATAAGGTGGTCCCGATTGATGTTGGCCATCACATCTACAATGGCAGCCTTCAATGAGGCTTCGCCGCCGCCAATGAGAACGAACGCCGCGCCACTCAAGCTCTAATAGAGCATTCGGTGCATACGCTCTGAACCGGAAAAAAAACAAAAAAACACGCACACACAGATGCTTTTAGCATTTGGGTCTCCCCCACTGTGGAGCCTCCCCTAACCCCCCAAACAAACTTCACAAACATTTGCGCTAAAATAAAAAAAAAGTAGCGGCCAGCTTGACCTGCCTTGTAGACTTGAATGCAAGGCCCGTTCCCGGCTCTTCACAATTGTAACCATGAAGCTCGAGCCCGGCCTGTACCTGTGCAGACCTCCAGCTAGACCTACGGGCCACGAGGCAGCCTGCCTGCAGGGAGTTTCGCGGAACACCTCTTTCTCTTTTCAAAAAACAATTTTTTTATAAATGAGTTTTTATTTTTTATGGTAAGCCATACCTACATATTTCAGTCGGCACTGCAGTCATATAAGTTGAGTGCATTTGCACACAGCCTGAACCACCCCGGAACAGAAGTCCAGGGCGGTTCAGGCTGTACTCGGAGGGGTATCATGGTCGCACCCCCGCGCGGGTAGAAAAAATTCTATTGCTACTAGGTGAGAGCAAAGGCCACACGAAGAGCCACCCTCAGCCCAGCCATAGCTTATCAACTTCAGGTTGCTTTGCAGTAGCCCCGATTGGCTTGCTGGGATTGTCGTTGACAATCTTCTGGATCTGATCGATATAGTTCACTGTTTTAAAGGTATCCGATTGTCGACAATGCTCCTTCTTTTTTAAAGCTGTTTCCAGACTTTAAAAACAAATGATCTTGTGATTTTCATAAAGGTGATTACCTCTGAATTGCTGGTGTTGGCGGCAAGATTGTCGAGCGTGGCAAGCGTTTTCATTTCCTGCGTGTGGCTGCATCCATCTTGAGTGGAATACTAGATAAATGACGTACGTGCTGCGAGTTATGAACACTTTTAATTATTGTCTGAGCATTTATGATACACCAAAGGTGAGCTACAGACAAATGTAATTATTGTCCGAGCATTTACGACGTGCCAGAGGTGTGTTCTCAAATACCGGCCGCACCCTGTGTGCTTTTTCAATAGTACCGTTGGCTTCAGTTAAGAGTACTGGTTTCAGATCGTAAAACCTGATGTAAAGAATTGATTACTGGTGCATTTGAGCATGCGACTTGAAGGAACAGGTGCATTTAACCAAAAGCTAACTCAGCAGTTGAAATATTGTATGTAGCACTGGGCCCACTTACTTAGGTTTAGATTACAGACTTAACTTTTTAGCAGCAGTTACTTTCTCAGAAATTTATTGAGTATATAAAAATTATTGCAGCATGTTTCAGAAATCTTAATTGACTGTGAATTACTTGATAGTTTTGCAAACTGCTAAGAAATTACAAAGATTTACATGAACAAATCTGGAAGTCATATTGAAGGCATCATTGAGGCATTCTATTTAGTGTCAGGATTAATGTGCAGACCCACATATTTTTGTTAAATTTGGAAGTGCCTGAGGCTTCATTTGTACAACTTACCTGCCAAATCTTCTAAAACCCAAGTTTATGCAAAAGCCATGAAATATTAACCCTTTGAATGTAGCATTTACAGTAGACTCTTCTAACCAAAACAGTTTCGCATGTCAAACAATCAACAGTTGCGAAGTGATTTTTGCAATTCTTGGATTGAGATAACTTCTTTTTTTTGAGCCTCTATTTTTTCAATTGCAGAGCCGGTCCTACCCCAATGGTACTGTGAAGACCATATACCCCAGTGGAAAGCAAATCACAAAGTACTCAAACGGCAAAGTGCGTGTCAAGGATGCCAACGGAACAGTGCTGGTCAATACATCATCTTGATAATCTCTCGCCTCAATTCAATTTATTTTAGAGGAAAAAGCTGCAGTAATGTAGCTTGAGAAGGCCCCTGCCCCTATGTGCTTGCTTGGCTTTTGTAATTAGTGCAGCATGTTAACTTTCCCATTTTTAAAGAAGTGTCTCAACACACCTACCATTTGATCAAGTAAAACTTAGAGGCATGCAAATATACAATTTTTTATTGCGAATCGAAGATGAATATTAAAGATTGGCTGCAAATCAAATTAGAACATTTTCGAACATGAATATCTTACATTTAATGTGAATTGAGCCCACATACTTAAGAGGGGACACTGGCTATAGATTGAGCTTCTGAACTATTCAAGTAATCAGAAATAAATTTGCAGGGGAGATTTAATGTCAGATGTAGGTGTACTGTGCCAACTTTCAGCTCTAGGACAACTTTACATACCTGCGTAAGATGCGTCACTCCTTGTTAAGAAATCTATAATATGCAGATGAAGCTATTAAAGGAGCTGTGCAACGATATTCGATTGGGATGTTTTTCTCTCTACACGAGCTTACTGGCACACCTGGGACTCAAGGATACTCACACGCAACGCCATTGGTGAAGAAACTCCTTTGTTGCGGTGTAATTTCAAGGACAAAAGCGATCATTTTCATTCAATCTCTCCTTTGCAAAATTTGATGACGTAACTCGGGGATCGGAGTACACCCAAGTGACGATATTTGAATGCGGTTCATAGATTGGAGCCGAGCATTGCGTGGGCACTCGACTTGGGCTCGTGACAATTGCTAGCTCGAGAAGCATTCGGGTTGTGACCCTTGTCCAATCGCTGCAACGACGACAACAGCCGAGCCATAACAATGTCTGGAACTCAGCGCGTGTCCTGCGCTTTGCCAACCCAGCGCGTGGCTATGATCAACACTGGCGGCATATAATCGGCTCCAGATCACGTGGCCGCTTGTTCTGGCTGCGAGTTGAGGGGGTGAACGCTGCTCGTTTTTCTTAAATTTTTTTCTGGGACTTCCATTGCGTGGGGTGAAAAACGAACGCGTGTTTCATAGGTCATTAACGTTAGGGATCCGTTCTAAGCGGTATTTGTGCACAGTACAAAAATTGTTGCATCGCTCCTTTAAGCACCATTTTGACCGCTTAAATATAAAGTGGGGGATGTCAGATTTTGGGGAATCTAGTTTTTATAGCTCAAATGTAAGTATTTCAGGAAGAGTTTAAGAGGGCGCGGTACCTCTATTTATTCGTCCGTTTCAGCCACCAGATGGCGCGCGGCTCGAAACGTGGTTGAACGCGCAACTTCTAGATGGCGCCAGTATCGAGGTGTGAAAAGGCCCGCGTTATCCGCTGCATGAAATAGATCCCGAAATGTGCCGTGTTCTCCCGGCGGAGGAAGTTTCTCCCTCCCTCGCGCGCGCTTGGTATGTACGCGCAATGGCCGAGTCCGGCCTCTGCGCTGTGTGATGCAGTGGGTGGCGCTCGTTTCTGTTCGGAGGTAGGAATAAAAATGCCGGTCCCCTTTTTTGCGACGCTCGTTTCTATAGCTTGTTTTTCTTCTTCTTTTTTTTTTTTTTTCTATCTCAAGTGACCTACAGTACTGCCTGTTCGAAATCGTCCTTTGCGGTGAGCGATTGAGAGTCAGGTTAGCATTTTATTTGGGTCAGCACTACACGTTCAATGGAGACCTCGGGCGGCGATGTAAATATGCATTGCTCCCCAAAGTGTGTCCGAGGTGCGCAATGACAATTGGAAAGGGTATTGAAAACGCGCGACCGTCGGTTGGTAAAATACGTGCGTTAGATTCACTTATTCAGTCTAATCATTTTTGCCAACGTCTTTTATCTGTTTCGACAAATGACATGGTCGAGTCTATTGATAACCTTAGCTAGATTGGACGTACGGAGTGTCCGGGCTTTAAATAAATTTGCTTCGTTTATGTGAATGAATAACTGTTTTCTCTTTTCCGTGCTCGGTGCTATGCAAAAATCGCTGAGATGTTATGGTCGCTCAGTGTGGCGGCGTTTTGCACGCTGACTCGCTATTGCATTCGCTGTGCACAATATGTGTTCAGATGGAATGTGCCGAATCGTATTTCCGATCGATATGATAGATTTACTTTGCTACAGTGTTAATTATATTTTCCTGATTTAAACTGGTTCGTCCCTGATCTGAGCCTAAGTTCAAATTCGAAGGGCAGACAGACTTAGCGTCGTAACAGCCGTAATGCGCAGAAAGAAATTAGTACCATGAAAGAAAAACAAAAGGATACGAGGTGGCTCAGTGTTATAGAAGCAATGAGTGTGCAAAGGATGCCATCGTACGTGTTTTTTTTTTTTTTTTTTTTTTTTTTTTTTTAACTCTCCGCATCGCTGGGAAACGCTCAAGGTACCAGCAAAGACAGCGAGCTGGCGTGAAATTTCCATCGAGCGGAAAACGAGTGTCATTTTTATTTCATCATGCGCTTTCATTTTGATATGGCTCAATATGGGCGCGAAATAGTAACAGGTAAGGCAACAAAATTTAGATGTTAGGTCTGGAGCACCGCCATACTCAGCCGTGTTGGGGGCATCTCTCGCGAGTCAATACGGCAAAGGTATTGCGCGTCGAACTGTACGTGAGAGTTATCCATTTCAGCGAAACCTTGATTTCGCAAAACTATTGTGGCTCGAGTCGTGGCTTCCAGTACTTGGAAGCCACGAGCGCGAAATAAATGACAGTTGATTTTGAAGGACAATCGCGACGTGGAAACCCATAAAAGAGAGTCCCGATAAGACGAGAGCTTCCCCTTCTCTTCAGGTGCGTGGGTTACGCTCTCAATCCTGCACCTGTGGTAACACTGCAGGCTCCTAAAATCGCTTTGAAAACGTTCCTGATCGCAACTTTTTTTTTTTTTTTTTTTTGTCGAGGCGCTATTTTTTTTTATTTTTTTTTATTTTTGTCTACCTTGATACCCCATCAGCGCAAAAACTACCATAAACTAAAAAAAAAAAAAAAAAAAAAAAAAAAAAATAGTGGGCATACAACGACAACGCACCCACTGGGACCCGAGTCAAGGCAAGAACAACTAACTACTAAAAGGGGAAAAAAATCATGTTCGCATACACAGACAGAACGCCTCCATCGAAAGAAATGAATCATGCGCTTGTTCTGCCAGTCTCGTTGTGCGTCTGTCAAAAGCCACAAAGGAGGAACACAATCAGCGCCTATACCACTCCCCTCCCCTCCCCTCCCTCCCTCCCTCCCTCCCCCCCCCCCCCCCCCCCCCCCCCCCCAACCCTAAAAAGAAGAAAAAAAAGGTTTCTTGGGCGCGCGCGCGGTCGCCCAAGCGATGACCTTGGAAGGGTATGCGATTGTAGTACGTTTGTCCCCCGGTTGTGCCCCTGTCTCAAATGCCACGGTCCGTTTCTCCCAAGTGCCCGTCTTATCTTCCCGAGTATCAACTCCGCAGTGATTCTGAATCATTCCGATGCTTTCCAACGTTGCAAAACTGTTAGACGAATATCTGCACAGAAGTATACACTGTTCGCAGAACTATCTACGGCGCTAAGATTCAAAAGCGCCGTGTTGGATTCGGGAACTCGTGTAGGTTTAGCTCATTGTTGGAACATTCTTATTCGCTCGATGAACTCCACAAAACGTGTAAATATTAGAATGAACTTTCCAGAGAACGATAGTTGTTGTCGGGGTTCCAGGCGACCGGATAGGTCGCAATTATTGACTGATTAAAAATTTTATTTCATAATCACAATCGTATCATCAAGGGCACACCATTTCCTCATCACTTCTTCTACGAAAAGAGTTGCTGTATTCGTAGCACACACAGACGGAAACGGTTGAGACTGTGCCCAAATAATATCTTTTTTTGGCAGGTACTGCGCAGCGATTACACACAATGCCTCTAACATAAACATGCTGCTCCACATGTCTATTCACAAGATGCAATACATCGTTCTCCCAACTTCGTTGAAATGGGCATGAAAGCGCGTAACCGTCACTTTTTTGAAGTTCTACTTAGAGGTGAAATGTTTACCGTAAAAAGTCGTTAATTATTTATTTTTTTCCGTTCCACTACAAAGCTCGATTCACTTAAATTTTTGTTTTTATATTGTCTCTACAGCACTTTTACGTCGGTACTTTCGTGTTAGAGGACATCACATAATGTGCGAAAAAAAAACAACAAAAAAACGGTAGGATCGATGCTGCATAGCCTTTTTTTTTTTGTGGACATCAAGAAAAATAAAAGATAGTAGTTGTCTTCACTTCGCACTGCATGTTTTAGCACGGAAGTTCCTATTTGGTTATGATGTCTTTATTTTCTTAAAAATTGTATACAGTAATTTAAATTACCGAATTACAAAAACGTCGAAATTGTATAATTGCTTTTCGTTGGGACGCCATGACGACAGCGACACTCGTGTTCCCTCGTGGTTTTCGCCAGCATTTCTACGATGAATTGCCAGGATCGCGAGATGCAGCAGCGTGACACTCCGTCTTCTGTGACGTCATTTGTTGCACTTCGGGACCACTTTTGATGTATGGCCAGCATAAGACGCTAAAAACACCAGTCGGAGACGCGCTGCAGGCGCCATAGTGCTGCTCCTAAAAGTAGCTGTCACGTGCTTTGCTCCGCGACTGTGATTCCCTCACAGCAGCTCTGACTGAGGGTTGCCAAAATACGGTGAAACGGAGTAGAGACAAAACAGACCGGAAACGAGCTGCCAGCATACGATAGTCAAACTCCAACAAAAAGGATTAGTTTCTTCCCAAGCTGGACGACATTTACCGGGCATCTTTAGAGCTGCGAAGCTCAAAATCACGCGTACTCATAAGATTTTTTTTTCTCGCGTGTTTGTGATTTTTATGATGTCCTGCAAGCAAGAAAAAAAATATATATGGTGAAGTCACTCCGAGGGGGTACCGATAACTGCGAGCCACGAACATGAAGGATTCGCTAACATCCGTCAGGAGTGTGAACGGTAAATCGTCACGCAAACATATTCTCACAAGCTGCAAAT